TTACTTTAGGACAGGTGTGCCCAACCCTGCTCCTGCCGATCGACTGTCCTGCACAGTTCATCTCCAACCCTAATCAAACACACCTGAAGCAACCAATTAAGGTCTTCAGGCTCACTTGAAAATTAAAGGCAGGTGTGTTTAATTAGGGTTGGAGATAAACTGTGCAGGACAGTCGATCGGCAGGAGCAGGGTTGGGCACCCCTGCTTTAGGATCTTAAAGGTGCCCTAGAATGTTTTTTTTTTTTTTTTTTATAATGTTTCCTGGGTTACCCTTATAATGTTAGTATGTTTTTTAGATAAAAAATAATCATAATTTAGAAATAAATGGCATTTTTCCTAGCCTGCTTTTAGCCTCTGATTTGAACACTCTGTTTAAAGGGGCGTGTCTGCTGTGGGATTCAGTGTAACCGCGGCCACTGCTGTGATTGGCTGACATGCTTGCATATGAAATAGCTACGCATTACATGTGAAACTCTCTCCCGAATACTTTTACTACTGCTATTATACGTTTTTACTATAACAGCTATCGAGATTAACGAATCGTGAGATGTTTTTAAAGTATTTAGATCTATTCCCATCACATAAAATGTTGCCGTGATGAGCATTGAGCAGATGACAGTGTGTTGATCGCGAGAATGAAGATCTTATCATTGCAAAGCAGTTTCTGCACTCTCTAATGCTTTCCCCAATGCAAACACGATGATGTAAATACAGTAAGAGCTTCGTTGTGCAGTAACGTGCGTCATTGATTTCATAACGAGTTTGGCAAGTGTCCAGATAAACTCGCGCTGTGTGGAAAGATTGTTCTTTGATCGCTTTCTGTATATAATTTGTTCACAATTTAAATACGATTATTTTCATCCTACTAAAAGAAACGGTGTGAAGCTGATATTTTAGTCACTGGCTTGACTTACTGATGCATAAACAGTATTGAACGATTTTGAGAGAAAGATTACCTGTCTGAACTTGAACAATTACACATCAGAAAGTGTTGCTTGGTAGCTCGATCCGAGGCCAGCTCTGTATTGGCCCAAGTTGAGGAAACAGTCGGTGAAATGTTTGGAAATTTCCAGAGAAAATAAAATTAACCCATTGTTTCTTCAGAGGCTCAGATGAAGGAACTAAAAAATACTTTTGTGTTCATGTGTACATCCACACTGAGCAACTGCCATGCTTCGGCTGCGCAGTTCCGCCTGGCATTGAGGGCTGGCATTATGCAAATATTTGGAGGCGTACATATTAATGATCCCGACTATTGCGTCACAGTCGGTATTGTGTGGAGAACCGACCGTTTTTCAGGGGTGTTTTTCATAAACGTGAATTAAATGAGAACGCGAAAACAGTCCAGTTTGAGGTTCACTCTATGTCATGTCCATGCACTGAACTCTTGTTATTTGACTATACCAAGGTGAATTCAATTTTGAATTATAGGTCACCTTTAACAGAATTTATAAGAGACCAACACAAAGTTTCAGTTACTTTAGAAACTTTACACTTAAGCACTTTGTTTCAACTACTTTAGAAACAACAAATCCAATATAACTCTGCCGCCACACTGCTTCGGGCTGATTCAGTTCCGTTAGAATCTTAAACAAAATCGTACAGAATAGGCTTAACAACTCCTCCTGCTAATACTGAATAAACCAAATTCTCTTCTGTCCTTAAATTTTCCTTTTCTAGATTTTTTTAAACGAGGGGTTTCCTGACAAAAAAACAGCATAAATGAAAGAAAACAGCTTTTTCTTACCTTTCCCCACTTTTTGTTGGAAACTCCTAGAAGGGTGGCTCGCCAATGTAAGAAAAAATGATGTAGATGTCGAAGATCTCAAAAATGAAGTTTATTACAGCATAGCAGTGGCAAGGGACACGAAGCACCTTGGGTTCACTGGCGTCAGAATGAACCCCGAACTCATCCCAGCGTAAACATTTTATACCGTCTTACATCTGTCTTTCCCCTCAGCATGTAAATGAAGCTCTCTCTTAAATGTAAATTGAGAATAACAAATTCGTCTTCTCTCTCAGCGTGGAGCTGAAACTCTATCTTAAATGTAAATTGAAGAGAACTAAAAGTGGTACCTCTGTGTCCATGTCTTTGATATTCTTTCAAATAAGAACGGCCACATGTTTAAGGTGATAACATCTCTTTAAAGCTCCCTAATCAAGATGGTTCTTGAATACCCGCTGTCATTCCCACGCTATAGGTAATAAACGTGACTCTGTGATACTTTTAAGATTGTAAGGAATTAATTCTATGATAAATAAGCTCTTTTAAGTGAAGGAACATTTCAATATATCTATATTGGAGTGGAAGTTGGATCGGAGCAGACTATAATTTCTTACAGGACCTTAGGAACATAACCTTGCCTAGGATGGAGGAAGGCCTTCACCATACCGGGCGGAAATTCCAGACACGAGGGAGCAACCGAGAGTGCTTGAATGTCTCCAATTCTCTTAAGAGACGAGATAGCGAGAAGAAAGATAGTTTTAAGAGTGATGAACTTCTCAGGAAGGAGCCAGGGAGAGACCTTCTAATACAATGGCCAAATCCCAGGCCCTCGTGCGAAGTGCTGGCCTCAGCCTCAAAGTACCACGAAGAAAGCGTGTTATAAGTGGGTGTCTCCCCAAAGAGACTCCACTCAAAGGGACGTGGTAAGCAGCTAGTGCCGCTACGTACACCTTTAGTGTGGGGGGATAACCCTGTGGAGAAACGTTCCTGCAGGAACTACAGCACTGCACCCACTGGGCAGTTAACTGGGTCTAGCTGGTGTTCTCCACACCAAGAAGTGAATAATTTCCACTTATTACCTTTATTTAACCAGGAAAAGTCCCATTGAGTTACAGTAACTCTTCTTACAGGGAGTACAGGCGGCCAACAAGTTTAAAAAAAATTAAAAATAAATAAAAGACAGGACAAAAATTACATATTACACCACAAATCTCTATACATACACTAACAAAACATTTTACCTACTTACATAAGCAGATACAGACATACAATTTAAAGGGCACCTAGTTAAAATCAATTCTTCAAGGCATATAACTTCCTCGTCGAAGGAGCTCTGGAGTGAAGGATGGTCTCAACAGACCTGAACTTATGAGCTGGGCCCCCTCAGAGGCCAAGCCCACAGTTTCCATAGTTTTGGGCGGGGGTGAAGGATCAACCCACTCGCCTGAGAGAGAAGGTCCCTCCTGATCGGAATCTCCAGAGGAGAGCCGTCGAGGAGAGACACTAGGTCCGCAAATCATACTCGGGCCGGCCAGTACGAGGCTACCAACAGTAGACTGACCCCGTCCCGGCGAACCCTCTCCAGAACTCCTGGGAGCAGAGCGATCGGGGGAAAAGCATACAGACGCGACCTCGGCCACGCCTGTACCATAGCGTCCAACCCCAGAGGGGCTGGATGGCTCAGGGAGAACCACAGTGGACAGTGTGATGTCTCCCTGGACGCAAACAGGTCTACCTCGGCACGACCGAAATGCTTCCAAAGGAGCTCTACCACCTCGGGGTGAAGTTTCCATTCCCCGTGCCTCGGCCCCTGCCTCAACAGGATGTCCGCCCCCTGATTCAAATACCCTGGGAGATAAATCGCCCTCAATGAAAGAAGCTTCCCGTGGGACCATAGAAGGATCTGGCGAGCCAGCTTGTATAATGGGCGCGAACGCAGACCCCCCTGATGGTTTATGTAGGAGACCACCGATGTGTTGTTGGACCGGACAAGAACATGATGGCCTCTCAGGTCTGGAAGGAAGTGTTTCAGAGCCTGAAACACCGCCAAAATTTCTAAGCAATTTATGTGCCACGAAAGATGATAATCCTGCCACAGACCCTGGGCTGGACGACCACTCATGATCGCCCCCCAACCTGTGAGGGAAGCATCTGTCGTTAGCGTTACACAACGACAAAGAGCTCCCAACACAGGTCCTTGGGACAGAAACCAAGACTCCCTCCACATGACCAGAGCACGGAGGCCACGCCGCGTGACTTTGATTGTGCGAAGCAGGTTTCCCCTCGGGGAGAACCCCTTGGTCCTGAGCCACCACTGTAACGGTCTCATGTGCAGCAGGCCGCAAGATATAACACTGGACGCTGCCGCCATAAGACCCAGCAGTCTCTGGAACTGCTTTACAGTGAGCAACTGGCCTAGCTTCACCTGTTTTACGGCTGAGAGAATCGAAGTGATGCGGGCAGGAGACAAACGCGCCCGCATTGTTACCGAATCCCACAACACCCCCAGAAAAGAGGTCCTCTGTGATGGAGATAGCACACTTTTCTTGGCATTCAGCCCCAACCCCAATCTCTTGATGTGAGCGAGGACGACATCTCGATGCCGAACCGCTTGCTGCTCCGATTGAGCTAGGATCAACCAATCGTCGATATAGTTTAGGATGCAAATGCCCTGGAGTCGCAGCGGGACTAACTGCTATGCACTTCGTGAATGTGCGGGGAGATAAAGCTAGACCGAATGGAAGAACACGGTATTGGTATGCTTCGCCCCCGAAAGCGAACCTCAGGAACTTCCTGTGTTGCGGAAGAATGGAGATGTGAAAATACGCGTCCTTTAGATCTATCGTGACAAACCAGTCCTCGGATCTGATTTGTGACACGATCTGCTTGAGAGTGAGCATCTTGAACTTGAGCTTCCCTACTGAACGAGGCGCAGATCAAAGATTGGACGCAACCCCCCATCCTTCTTTGGAACGATGAAATATCGGCTGTAATAACCTGACTCTCTGCTTGGAGGAGGAACCCGTTCTATAGCCTCCTTTTGCAGGAGCATTTTCACCTTCTGTTCCATTACCAGAGCCTGCTCGGGGCCCACCACGGTGGGCAGGATCCCGCTGAATCGAGGTGGAGGAGATCTGAACTGGATAGCATAACCTTTCTCTATCGACTGCAGGACCCACTGAGATACTCTTGGAAGACTTTTCCACTCCGCCAGAAAATCTACTAAGGGTACCTGGAACTAATGGCGCTTTTCCATTACCAGTACCAGCTCGACTCGGCTCGACTCGCCTCGGCTCGCCTCGACTCGGCTCGCTTTTCGCTCCGTTTTCCATTGCAGATAGTACCGCCACAAATAGTACCCGGTCGTCATAGCGACGCCGCAGGAAACTGCCGTGACGTAATCTTATACGCGACACACATCCGCTACCCACACACACACAGGACAATGGAGGAAATCGAGTGTATGCTGTTTTTGATCCTCGGGATGTGGCTGTTTCTCACAGCAAGAAGACAAACGTTGTTTCATGAGAGGCTGAGGGCAGCAAAACGAAACACTGCTGAAAAAAACAGGAGAGTTTGGGAATTACTACAGAGTTCAGACTACGAGACGAATCCGGTTGTTCAAAGCCGACGCAAGAGGGTAAGTTATGCTAACATAGCTAACGTTTGCATATGTGTAAATACTATACTATATGCAAAGTATTTAATCAACTTTATAGCTACCAGTATTACGTACTAAAATGTGCATGGTTTATGTGTTTCAGATCTGTTTAGCTTTGCAAAGTCGCCGCGGCAAACCGTCTGTTTGGGCTTTCAACCGAGCTACCGAGTGGTGGGATGTTATTGTTCCTGGTTTCACAAACGCGCAGTGGGTTCAGAACTTCAGAATGTCGGAAGAAACATTCATATATTTGTACAACAAACTGCGTCCAGTGATGGAGAGACAAGACACAAGCTTCCGCAAGTGTGTTCCTCTAAAGAAGAGAGTGGCCATCGCTCTATGGAAGCTTGCGACCGGTTCAGAGTACAGAACTGTCGGCCATCTTTTCGGAGTTAGCATAACAACTGTTTGCCGGTGTGTTCAAGAGTTCACTGCTGCTGCAGAAACGTTGTTGGTTCCCGAACAAATCCGTTACCCAGACCAGGAGAAGTTTGAAGAAATGGCTGCCTACATTGAGAACAGATGGGGGCTCCCGCAGTGTGTTGGTGCTATTGATGGGTCACACATACCCATTTTGGCACCACAGGAGTACCACTGTGACTATTTCAACCGTAAAGGTTGGCACTCCATCGTCCTTCAAGGTGTTGTAGATGGAAAAGGACTGTTCTGGAACGTGTTTGCAGGACTGCCTGGCAGCTTGCATGATGCTCGTGTTTTAAGACTGTCCACATTGTGGGAGTTGGCCAGCCGTGGCAACCACTTTCCAGCTTACACCAGGAATATTGGTGGGGTGAATGTTGCCTACTACATCCTGGGAGATTCTGCCTATCCCCTGCAGAACTGGCTCCTAAAGCCATTCACTGACACTGGACGGCTGACAGTAGAACAGCAGATCTACAACAAGAAAATATGTCGAGCACGGGTAGTGGTTGAAAACGCTTTTGGTAGACTGAAGGGAAGGTGGCGTTGCCTCATGAAAAGAAATGACTGCGACGTTACAATCGTGAAATCTATGATTCTTACTTGCTGTGCTTTGCATAACCTTTGTGAGAGTCATGGAGAGGACTATGACGATGACTGGGATGCACCTGCAGCAGCAGAGCCTGTGGTGCCAGTGGCACAGGGTGTTGAGGAGGAGGGCAGAGATGTACGGGAGGGTCTGATGCGTTATTTTAATTGCTAAATAAATACATTATCATTAAATATGTTGTCTCTGCTGTTTTTCATTAAAGGTTATCACAGTATAAAATCTGAAAATACTTGTTTAAACCCTTGTAAAAAAGCAAACCATCAAAAAAAGACACTGTTTGTAATAAGTTTCAAAAAGGTTTTATTTAAACACGCATACAAATAGAAAAAAATATAATATTAATATAAATTCACACATCCAACTATATACATATGTTACATGTAGTGCAAACATTAAATTAAAATAAACAAAGGGGTTTCAGTCCAGGGGCGGTGGAACAGCATCCCGCCGGTTCAGTGCCTGGACAAGCTGGCTCAGGGTTCCCAGAAAGGCCTGGTTGAAGGACGACATTGCAGCCATCTCCTCTCTCCTTAAAGCCGCTTCTAGTTCTCGGGCATGTGCTGCATCATCGAGTGCCATCTGTAAATGGCGCTCCCGCTGTGCCCGGTTCAATTCCAGCTGCTCGACATCCGATGTCTGCATCTCCCTCAGGACAGTCAGATGCTCCTGTTCCCTCTTTCGTTTACTCCGTCCTGGCCAAAAAATAATTACAATGAATGAGTTATAAAGAAAAACGGACAAGTCACGTTTCATTCAAAGGTTGTGTGTGTTGTAAATTGTTCACACGTATTATCATTACAGCTTCTACATAAAAAAAGACAAGCCCACAACTTACTATTACTTATATAGTATATAACGACTTAACATCTGAGCCCAACTATTTTAGTAAATGTCAACTTTAAAATACCATGTGTACAGTATAGGTGTACGTCTGGAAAGTTATAAAAATACTGAACAGGTTTATTAATGAATCCTGCATTCCCATAACTGGGAATGCTTCCTGTTGTTATGCAAGTACGTTTACGTTATATTAATGAGTTATTGATACGATGAATGATATATTAAAAAGTGTGTATAGATTCACAGACAACAGGCTAGAAGAGTTGACTTTTTCTCCAATTATACTAACCGGTTGCCGGTGTCGACGCTGCTGCGGGTCTCGGTGTCGACGCTGCTGATCTTGTTGGTGTCGATGGTGCCGCTGGTGCTGGTGCCGACGTGGCATCAGTGGGAAGGAATCTAGATAGAAAAGGATCATACAAAAGTCAACACAATACGAAAATAGCAATGGCAGATAGTTAGCGGTAGCAGCAATTGTTATCTGCGACACAAGTTTACAGTCTTCGATGTTATAAGTGAGCTTCAGCTTTTCAAAAGCCAGCCTACAGAAAACAAAACTCTCAAGCAGAGTGCGCCTACATGATTAATGTAATGTAAATTTAAAACACTTACCATCCTCCATCAGCGACTCCAACAAACTGGTGGCCGAGTCAAGTCCACCCTCCCTCCCGTTGCTCGCCGGTCTATGGCCGTAGATACCGTCCATCTGTTCGTACCACTTCCAGCTTTTTCGGTTTGAACCACTGCGGCCGTTGTGGTCCTTTACAGCTCTGTAGTCACTTTTCAGTTTTTTTAACTTTTCCCTACATTGCTGGAAAGTCCTGTTGTAGCCATGTGTGGACAGCAGTTCGGAGATTTCTTGATACACTTTTTCGTTCCTAGTTGCCCCATCAAGCTCTCGCTGGATCCTTTCTTCGGCAACCAAACATAGGAAAGTCTGCACCTCCTCGTTTGACCACGGCGTATTCTTCCGAGTTGCCATAATAGTAAGTTTAGTATATCTGGGCAAACTATTTAAAAATGGCGGGGTTATTCTCTGGTTATTCTGGATACTCCGTCTGCCGCGTGCAATGATGACGCAGTGAATAGTGACGATTCTCTCTGACCAATCAGCAGTCGGCATTGTATTACGTCACATTTTAGTATCGCCTTAGCTCGCTTAGAACCTCGCCGGAGGTGGTACGAAAAAAAGTACCCGAAAGCAGGTACAGGTACAACTTTTACACAGTGGAAAACCAAACAAAGGCGAGTCGAGTCGAGCAGTGAATAGTGACGATTCTCTCTGACCAATCAGCAGTCGGCATTGTATTACGTCACATTTTAGTATCGCCTTAGCTCGCTTAGAACCTCGCCGGAGGTGGTACGAAAAAAAGTACCCGAAAGCAGGTACAGGTACAACTTTTACACAGTGGAAAACCAAACAAAGGCGAGTCGAGTCGAGTCGAGCCGAGCCAAGGCGAGCTGGTACTGTGTAGTGGAAAAGCGCCATATGTGGCCTCTGGAATATTTTGAGCAGCAAACGCAGCGCCCTGTAATGGTGCACCGGCAGGGAACGACTGATTCAACTGCTCTGGACCCCTCCTCGGAGGGGGCGAGCGTCCCTCGGGAAAAAGCTCGCTGGGACCGTCTACGCCCCGGCATAAAGGCAGGGTTGGCAGAACGAACCCCTGAGGGCACCGAGAGAGAATGGGCACCGTCTGATGCGGTGAACTCCTTTCTCTCACGGTGGGGACTACCCTCAGCATCCTGACGCCAGTGGCGTCAGGACTTCTTCTTGGACGAAGCCTTCTTGGCCATAATAACTGTCCTCAGATCAGTTTTACCACCAGAAGACTTCGCCTGAGACTGCTCTGTTTTTGTTGCGCCCTGTGCGAGGAGCTTGTTGACGGCTGGGACTGCCCACGCCCAGCAGTCCCTGGGACGTGAATTTTAAGCGGGAGGTACTTTTGAAACGCTGCAGCTTGTTTCTTTTCTTCTTGAAATTTGTCTATGACAGTGTTAACAGCGACACTAAACAGACCAGAGGGAGACAGCGGAGCGTCCAGAAGAAAAGCCTTCTCCTTCATACCAGACAGATTCAACCAAAGATGTCTCTCTGTTTGGCCGACTCCTTGGTGGCACGCAGGGACAAATCAGCAGCCTGACGTAGTTCTCAAACCACGTCAGTACTAACCTCCTCACTTTCACTCACATCCTTCAATAAATCAGCCTGATATGCCTGCAAGATGGACATAGTATGCAAGCATGCAGTGGCCTGACCTGCCGCCAAATATGCTTTGCCTACCAAAGCCGAGGTATTTCTAAGGGGCTTGGAGGGCAAATCTGGTGCCTTAAGAGACGATGCAGACTCAGCAGAGAGATGATTAGCGAGCTCTTCCTCTGTCTTAGGCATCGCCCCATAACCATGTAACTTAGCCCCCGAACTATTAGAGTAAGTGGAAGTCTGGGGGCTAAAAATACGATATGATGCCAGCTTTTTCCACGACTTCGACACCTCGGTGTGGAGGTCGGGAAAAAACGGTAGGCACGCACCGGCGTGGAGGTTGAACATGCGAGGGCAGAAATCTCTCATCCAGTTTGCTTTTAGAAAAAGACTCCTGCCTAACAGCTGGCCACTCAATGCTCAATTTAGCAACAGCACGAGTGAGCACCTCCATCAGCTCCTCATGTTCAGGGGAATGAGGTGACGAGTCCTCAGTATCCCCTGTCTCAACACTGACAACATCCAGCTCCTCAGAACTGGATAGTTGTAGCACTGGTGCCTCAGCCTGGGCGGAAGAAACCGCAGAGCGTGCTTCCAAACCCTTGACAGAGGCACTGGATCTGACAGGTGAAGGCTGAGATAGGGCTGGGCCCGTCTCAAACCCTGCTGTCAGATTCATTTGCGTTCCCCACAACAAGCGCCGCCGCTCTGCCTCGTCAGAAGCGGGACCTGAGCCGGGGGAGCGCGAACCGAACCACTCTCCTTGAAAAGTGATCGGCGGGAGCGGAGTGTTCTTAGCGGAAAACGCTCGCAATGCTCGCAATCAGCTCCCTCGAGAGCTGACTGGGCATGCTGCACTCCCAAACACTCTTTCTATACAGCTGCTTGCTCACCATTTAAATATATATATATATAGTTTTTTATAGTGAAAACTCCTGCCTAGCAGACACTAAATGACAGACAAAAAACACTTGGACAAAATTCACACACAGAGCACTTGCTGAAGGCACAGAAGCTGTCGTGGTTGTGATTTCGGGGTGCTTTATAGTTTCCTGGTCGATGACGTCACCCGCCTATGACATTCCGTCTCGCCATTGGACTGATTCCATACGTGCTTCATGACGCACTCACGCAGGGGCGTTTCCACAGCGTGACATCATTTACTCACCCTTTAAGCTGCAGACCGCAGTTTTTCCTCTTTGTCGCCATCTCTGTTCGAACTCTGCAATTGCAGTTATTTGCGGAATTATCAACTTTACGTGGGTTGTGCCTCGGCACGGCACAGCGTGGATGAATCCAATGTTTTGAGGAGAATGTGCGGCTATCAGTCATCACATTCTGGATACAGTGTGCAGTGGGATACAGTGTGCAGTGCAGTGTGGATACTGGCATTCAGAATCACAGATTCTACTTTTTGGAAGTATGACCAACATAAGAATTTTCACCGGAAAATGTCATCTGAACAAGTAGTATCATCCACTTTTGTTCTGACCAACTAAGGGGAAAAAAGCATTGCAGTAAATCGCACTGCTTAAATCTAACGATCGCTTATCATATCACATCAAACTATGCAAATTAAATTATACTTTGTTGTCAAATTGTTAATGTTAACAACATCAGCATTGCGTGACTACATTTAATGCCCTTCCGATTTTTATCCTTTATTTTGCATGGGCCCGGTTGCAGTGTCTTTTTCCAAACTCTCTTGCATTTTACAGCGGGTGAATCTCCAGTTGTCATTGGTGATTGTCGTTTGAACCTTTCTGGGTCCGCCATCAAATTAATGTTTAATTATATCAAGTGCTGTGAGAAAAGGCTATAAATCTCCACCTCCAACATCCTCACACGCAATATAGCCTACTAGCCGAGACTCCTTCTTTATGTGTACAGATGTGACGTAATGACGCAAAGACATGCTTGAATTTCCCGTGGAAATCCACCAGTACCACTGGAATTAAAAACATTATTACAAGCTTACCGTTTTGTATCGAGCTAAGGCAAGCAGATAGTTTTCAACACTGACTGGTTATGTACTTGCTCAAAAATTTATTTTGGATAATTTTTAACCCAAAAAAGTTACGGACTGCAGCTTTAAGTTGATCCAAACCTGTATTAATTTCTTCTTCTTCT